AAAAAAATGGCGGAAAATTGGAAGCACTGAACGTTAGATCTATAGAACGAAGAAACTTCCTTTTTTCCGGACCCGAGTCCGAATTATTCGGACTCGAGTCCGAATATGAAAAAATGTTATTCGGACTCGGGTCCGAATAACGACAGCCATAACTATAACTATTGATTTTTGCGTCAAAAATGAAGGCCAAATTCGTGTTCAGCTTGCAAAATACTACTAGAAAAGAAGTGTTATAAAACATGAACATGAGACGGGTGCATAAAAGTAAAAAAAACCCAGAACATTTTAGAGAAGAAAATTTTATTCATCGCTGTCAGGTTTTGAATGAGAGGCGAACACTGTACCTTCAGACCACGACATGGGTGCCAGACCTCCGGGCCCAATCTCGGTTGACAAAATTTCACAGCATCACTTTTCGGGGTGCATCGGGTCTTTAAAAAGGGGAACAAAAAATTAATTGTCGGAAAAAAATTTGGCCGGTAACAATCGAGTCCGGCCAAGCGTAATGGACTTTTAAAAACTGGTATCGCGATATGCGTGCAAGTTCTGGATGCGATATTTCGTTTCGTCTGTCTGATCACAGGAAACGCCGGTGACGGGATCGAAAGGATAAATAAATTACATGGTTCAAATAAGGGTGAACGGATTTTTTAAAATCCTTTTGATTTTTTTCATGAGTAGTTAGATCTGTTCGCGCGAAAACCGGGATCAGTGTCAGTGAGACGAAAGCTAAGCCAGCGAGTGGTCGTGTCGTAAGCTAGCCTACCGCCACCTGCCGCTCATCCCGATTTAATCGGGATATCCCGATTTTTTCCCCAAATCTCAAGCATCCCGATTTTCCCGATTTCGATCGCCAGTGTCCTGATTTTTTTGTCGTTGCGTCTGTTGCGTCCGATTCTTAGTAAAAAATAGAAAAAGTTCTGCAATCTCTTTTGCTTGGAAGCACCGATTGGATTTTTTATCGGCAGAAACTTGGAACGTTACTTTCTAAAGCATCTATGCCGAATCTAATAGATGACTCACGCAAGTTATTTCAACATTATTTTTTTGGGGGGGTTGGGAAAATTTTGGATCTGGGTTTTCAGGGCTGGAAAAATTTGTCACTGGCACCCATGGACCAGGAGAACTCCTGGTCAAGTGAATGAAAATATGCGTTAAATAGTATTTTTAAAGATTTATACAATATGTGTGGCTTTTAGCCAACAGTTATTAGGAACTGGATTTAATTATTACGTGTAAACCAGCACTTTCAACTCGGTGTATGTAGGCCTACTGTCAATTGTTTGATCGTCACACCTTTTTTACCTTTCAGTTTGTGTGCTACAGGAAAAGTCTAACTTGCCTGGATCCTTAGTCGACCCCTCACTGTGTGACTGCAGATTTGTACAGGCGCAAGGTCCGCCATGATTGTCGTTCGCCTAACCCAGCTGTTTGACTCTGTCAAGCAGACGCTGTTTATTTTAGGAACAGCTCTCATTGGCTTCCTTGCTCTCAGAAACTCTGTAGTATGGTGAGTGTCCCGTTCTTTGAAATGTCTGTATATATGCCTGCCTGTCTGTCTGTCTGTGTTTATGTATGTTAATATAGTTTCTCTATCAGAAGTGCCATTAAATGCATTTTGTGATTATAATTTTTTCAACATAGATCTATATATGATTATATTTTTTTTAGCGTTGATACAGTCTAAGAGTAGGTGCTTTTATCCTAATTGTCTAGTTGAGATGATGATCAGAAAGAACACTTGCACTTGAAAGTGAATCCATTAAAAAATTTCTCTACTAAGAGAATGGCCTTCATCACGGTTTGACATAAAAATAATATATGGTAGAAGAAAATTTTTTTTTTCCAGTGAAAACTCAGGGTTAGTGAGCTTTATAACGTGTGAAAGTGAAAATACATTGCCATTTAAAAGGCACTTTAGGATTGTAATTCTTACAATCAACATTTGTACTATAAAAAAAATTAGCAGTGCTTAATGACATACATGCGGACACTTGTAGTGACAGACCACTCGTTTTTAATCCTCATGACTTTATACAGTCATATCAAAATTGAAAAATACTGACCTTTTAAATGTTATGTTAGTACCCTTGTCAAATGTATCTAATTGCTTTTGTATTCATAAAACTAATCCTTGTAGGAGACATCTGCTTTAAGATGTGTGACAATCTAAATGATACAACCCTTACATAAATTATTTACATCAAATGCATGGCGTTGTAGACTGGCTGATTTCCTATTAAATAACAGAATCGCAGTGGTCATTTCTCAGTTTTAAACTCCAGATGGCATTGTAATCTCCTTTTGTATTATTTACCCCCTATTATGGAGGAAGAAAAAGCACTTCAGGCATTATTCGCCTTTTACAGATTGCTGATACGTAATGCATTTTAGTTTTTCACCTGTTTTTACCACTGAAAAATTATCTTTAATTGTGATAGAAGGAGAAGTAATGTAGTAAACATGTCTGCATGTTCCATTCCCCTTACGCAGGCACTTTTGATCCATCTAGTGTAGACTCCTTCCTAGACAAGCCACTGTGTAGCCATGGAAAGTAGAGTCATGATTAACTTTCTGAAGCAGTTGGGGTTTTTTTTTTCAGGTTCATATCAAATGGATTTTTGCCTTCCCTATTAGTGTTGATTTTCACCACTATATTGCAGAATACCTTTTTCTCAAACCTTTTATTCTGTTTGTACACCTTGACCTTTGACTGTACGGATCGGACGTCTTCTTGTTCCTGCTCCCTTCCACAACAAAAGCTGAGAACAACCTTTACTAGCATATCAACCAGTTTAATTAAGACAGACAAGAACTGGACTGGCTCTAGTTGGAACGAGTGAACGTCTCAGCAGTGTGGGATGACAAAAACTACAACATAATAGCTCTTTTGTAGAGTTGCATTAATAATAATAATAATAATAATAAAAAGCATTTGTATGGCGCATATCCCTGCTCAACAGCTAGCTCTATGCCCTTCACACTATATTATTACCCCAGCAGACCATAGAACACTCCGAAACATTCTCAGCTTCCCGAGAAGCATACAGTGCAAGAAGCTGCTTAAAAGCACTGAAACACTAACAAACTGACAAGATCTTTCTCTGTCTATAGCTGGGTACCAATTCCCACCTGGGTGAAGTGAGGAAAATTTGTGTAAAGTGCCTTTCCCAAGGACACAACATCCGGCCCCAGATGGGATTCGAACCCACTACCTTACGGTTGCAAGTCTGAGAGCCTGACCACAAGGCCAGCCTTTCTTCTAGCACCCAAAGTCCTTTTATATATGACTGAGTTAATGTATGTTGTTCATTCAATGTTTTTCATACCACTGCAGTCAAATACACGTAAATGGGTGGTTGGAGGGCACTACTGATAGGTCCTACTTCTTTACTTTCCCTCTGTTATTTCTGTCTGTCTATCTGTCTGTCTTACTTTTTCCCAGCAACTAAATGACCATTATTGTGTCAATGTGCTTCTCTTTACTCAAACAAAACACGCGTAACGTCTCTCATCTCACAAATTTCCAGAGCCACCACAACCAATCTCTCTCAGCAAAACTTGCAGCAGTGAGAAAAGAACAATGAATGAACCACAAACATATACCAAACTTTGTGCTATAAAACATACTATTTGCAAATGGTGTCTCTCGTACCGAGTGCACCCTGCCAATCGAATTCTTTTGATTCAGTCAAGGTCAGCCAGATTTTTCTCCATGGAGGGGCTAATGCTATCATTTTGACAAAATTGGACCGAATTTGACTCAATTCGGTTGTGACCTTCAAAATCAAATATTATGTTTTTTTTTCCCAAGGTAGTGAGTCAAATTGGGTCTAATGGTCCCGAAATGGTAGCCTTTTCCCCTCCATAGAGGGAAATTTGGCTAGCCCTGACTCAGTTCTGATTGAATTTGATAGAGAGCGTGCAGTGGTTGTTAGATTCCTCACAGAGTTGAAGTTTGCTGGCCCTGACCCATGCTTTGAACTCTACCTCAGGCACATGCAGCAGTTCTGGGGAGCGTCCGGGGACTTCTGGCAGAGGCAATGGGCGGCCATGTACAACCAGGTCGGCAATGAGCTCTTGCTCACCACCGTAGGTAAGGAGAAATTCATGTCTTTTAAAATAATACAAACTGGGTGCACATGTGTTGTTTCTACGACTGTAAATTTTGGTTTATGGGAGGTTGGAGGGGACTGCTGGTGAGAACTGTGTGTACTTCTTTTCGTTCCCTACTTTGTTGTATCTGTCTGTCTGTCTGCCTCACTTTTTTTTCCCCCATCTTTCTAAATAACCATTAATGTGTCAATGTGCTTCTCGTTATCCAAATAAATATGCTTGTGTTGTTTATGTTTTCAAGTATGTCAGAAGTTTCATCAAGCAATTTCAAGGATTCATTTTCTCAATGTTTTACTTTTACAAGTATAACTTTTGATTTAATGGACAAATTTCTCTAATGTATTATATTGTTTTCTGATTTGACATCGTCTGATTGTCATTGTCATTGTCATCGTCTGATTTGTCTCCCCCCAGGGTCGTTTGTGTTCACCGTCTCTGTGTTCTGGTTGGCTAATGCTGTTCTCCTGGTCCTCGACCTGACCGGCTGGCCGGCATTTCTACTCAAGTACAAAATCCAGGCAGATAAGAATAACCCGGTAAGTGGGCTCTTCTTTTGGGGGGTGTGTGTGTGTGTGAGGGTGTGTCTGTGTGTGTGTATGTGTGGGTGGGGGGGCGGGGGCATGAAATTATATAACTTTGTTAACTGGTTACCAGCCTCTATGGTGTATTGGTTTGTTCTTTTTCTCTTTTGTCATGGCTCAAAGAAGATGGTAGTTCAGTTTCAGGGTGGGGAAGTTTCTTATCTCCATCAGTGACATCAGTCAGTTTGCTGGGATGGATGTTGTATCCTGCTCAGCCGGGTTGGCCCTTACAGATAGAATGGTTACAGCTACTCGTCTCCTAAATTATACCTAATTTGTGTTGATGGGGATGTAAACCATTTACAAACATAAGTTTAGTGTACTATGTTTCGCCGGAGTCCTGTGAGTTGATGCAGGGGACTGCCAGTTTGTCTTTCTCTTTTTTTTTTGTTGAACACTTTGTCATCTCAAGGTTCATAAAGTAAAAACCCGTGCCTCCAAAGGCAAAGGCATTTTGGGGAAGATCCAAAGAAACTGGGAGGTAAACATCGCCGATCGGTGAGATGTGACGGCAAAGTGTTGAATACGTCTCGTCTTGTCTCAGGTCAAGAAGTCAGACCTGCTGCGTGCCGTGAAGGTGGCCATATTCAACCAGACCGTCGTGGGCATCCCGTTCCTGGTGGCGGTTTACTACGCCATGCGCTGGCGCGGCTGCTCTTGCTCCCCCGATGACCTCCCGACCTTCCAGTGGGCCGTCTTTGAGCTCGCCATCTTCACACTGGTGGAGGAGATTGGATTCTACTACTCGCACCGGTGAGAAAATAAATATTGAGAGTGAGGACGATGATATTATCGATATTTTTGTGTTTGGATTAGTTGTTAAGGGCCAACGTCCTCTCTCAGCTTGCTAGAAAGTGACTCACTCGTCAATATGTATTTTTTGTTTTGTTAAAAAATATCCCTTACCGGACCCTCTTACAGAAAAAATATACTTCAGCCACTACCCCAATGTACAAATGGCCTTAAACCTTTCACCCATGTGTGTTACAGCCTGTTCCACCACTGTAAGTAGGTGTAATGACCTTTAACCCTTCACCTGTGTGTGTTTCAGCTGTTCCCCCTTCCCCCCTTTTGAATGTACAAATGACCTTTAACCTTTCCCCTGTGTATTTCACTACCTGTTTC